TTTGAACATTTGTACGACCGAAACTGGAGTTCGCTATCCAAGCATGGAAACCATGGACCGCAAAAGACCTCAGTTTCCTCGAGAAGGTACAAAGGCGTGCAACTAAGCTTGTGACGGACAGGGATCATTACCCTATGAAACATGTTTAGCTAACCTCGACCTCTTTCCTTTAAGTTACAGGAAGCTACGCGGTGATCTGATACAAACATTTCATATGATGCACAGGCAGGACTGCTGTCTATTACCTGGCGAGTTCTTCGAGTTAGCAACAACCACAAATTTAAGGGGAAATCCATTCAAACTACGCGTAACAGGGGCCAGACTAGATCTACGAAAGTTCTTCTTTTGCAATAGAGTGGTTGAAGCTTGGAATTTTGTGCCCCTGGATGTTGTAATGTCCGCTTCCGTTGAAGTCTTTAAAAAGAAGCTAGACTGCTATAGTAGTGCTCACTCTAACACGACTTGACCGCTGCAGTCCTACTTCAGACGAAGAAAATATCATATTTCATAATATATTGCTTGCCTCGTTTGAGTAACTTTTAATTATGAAATTATTCTTTTCACTAAATTCATCTATATCCATGAAGCTCGCTTACGTCGACCATTAACGGATAGCTGCGATCGTGCCGGCTTCTCCTGTTTTCATCGCGTTGATGACGGCTCCGGAAATTGACAAAGGTGTATCGTTGCCGCAGCTCCGATTTTTCGGGATGTTATCGTGACCCTGCAGTCTCGTCCCTGTATGGCATTTCGGATCACGATAAAAGTCATGGTGGACCATCTAGCCTGCCGCCAACATTAACAGCTGCATCCGGGCATATTTTTTACATACTTTCTCCCACGAACGACAGTTTTCTCCTAAAAAGGCACAAACTACATTCCATTTTGTGAATTCTGAGCCATGCCTTATGAGTTTTTTCACTGGCTGCTCTTTTTGCTCAGTTACACCTGCTGGCTCGTGTTAACTGACATCATTCCATCTGATTATATTACTTTGAACAAGTGAGTAGTCACCTAAAATTACGTAAACGACCTTCTTGAAATGTTCGGCATTTTCGATGCATTTCTTACGTACTGTGTACCGATAGGGAGTTCAATGGCGTTTGCCTATATTTCCCTTAATAGATTGCCTTGACTTGACTTAACCATTCATTTTTCTAACTGCTCTCAACTGGTCCGCTCCCCAACATTACAGAATCGTATCCTTGATCTGATTTTTACAAACGGTATCATTCCCCTCCTTGTTGATTTTAAGCAGGGCACCTTCCAAAGAAATCATACATTAATTCACTGTTGTCTTTCGCTTCTTTCTACGAAAAAGGCTAGCGCTATTCGCACCTATCACGCTTATTTATGACCTCGCAGATATAAACTTAATCAACAGTTTTCTTGACTCATTGGATTGGTAGAGTCTCTCCTCCTACG